TCAGTAACATGCGTCACTTGTGTGTCCATCTTTGCAGAGCCATACCCTAGATTTGTCCTTGTAGAAATCCCAGGGCACCCTCTCCACGTCAGCGTGCATTGCTGCCGTAAAATAGGTGGAGTCGCGGCCGAAGCCAAAGCCGTCCACCACGCTGATGTGGAAGGCCCAGTAATCGTGGCTGTGGTTCTGAAACAGGTAACTGCTCGGGAAGGACATGTCGATCTCCAAGCCATACAAGCGCGCTGCTATGATGGAACCTGATACGTTTCGATCTGCCACGTGAAGCAAACGGTACAAAAACAATCTGCGAACATATACGTGCCCCTGTCAAAACTTGCTACTTGCATGCCCTCTACAAAGAGCCCCATGGTCTTTGCCGGAGGCTTAGAGCTCGGCCTCCTTCTCGTCCCTCCCAAACGGGATTGTTTTCGTTTGGGGTACCCCATGTGGTTGCTTCAAAGGGAAGCCAAAATAGAAACCAAGTGGCTTTTTTGGGGGGGGTCCTTCGAAAACCACACTCACACGCACGACCTTTTCGGTTTCTCCTTGATGGCTGAGCTGCACGGTGGCCGGCAATATTGCGTGATACCGGCAGAAAATCCGCGCCATCCCGAAAATAAAAGAAAGTCGCGTATTGAAGGTACTAGCTTATATTTTCCAAGGCAAAATCTGCGCTGCGGCGCCTGCGCAAAGAACAGGCCAGCCAGGCGGCACGCGAGACTGGTGACTGCGCACCGAGCACAAGCACTCTTGCGTGCATCACTACCAGACTGAGCACACCTTCTCCGCTCGCGCGGCGGCTCACCAGACAGTCAGACGCGCGAGAGGCAGCGAGCCAAAGGCGACATCCAGCACCACGCTTGTCAGGTACGCTGTTAGGCGAAGTAGAAACACTGTAACGTATGCTGACGTACGCTGCGCTGAGGAAGTCGTCACCACTTACAGCACTGCGCTATCTTCGTAGTCTTCTGTCTTTCCTGAAGCGCACACCTTCGCGCTTGCCACACACACAAAAATCAAGCGTTGAAATCCGGGTAAAGACCTGTCTTGCGCACTTTGACCTGTGGCGAGCTTCTCCCCCACACCTAGGGCCTTTGCGTGTCTCTGTGGACAATTCAAATGCCCCAGTGGATTCCACCAATCGTTGCATCTCAACTGTTCGCACTCTGTTGACACTGTTTTAACACTAGAAAAGATCCACCGATAGATTCGGCATCCAAGCAAGAAACTGTGTCAGCTGCGCTTCTCTCAGTCTTTTAGGCCTGGCCTTCCACCTTGACCATGGCATACACTCCATTGGGGTGCCAGCTTGGTGGGCTGCCCAGGGCGCAATCCCCCATGTCCTCCGCTGTCTTCCCCTTACTTGGCGGTTTGGATTGGGGGGTGGTTTGCCCTTTACGCTCTGCCAGGGCTACCTGATCATGCTCGAAGGAACGTCAAGCAAAAAACTCGCCAAGACGACATGGAAGATATCAAAGCCGGTCTCAACCCACCGGCTTTTGGTGGGAGACTAGTGTTGGAACCCCTTCTCATATGTCAGGGAGCGTTGCCCACGTGATCAAAATGGCAAGCATGTCAGAAAGCAAGCAACAGCAAGCCATGCAAACGGAGACTCCTCCAAAGGCCAGACTCTCTGCGGCACATTCACCGCTGGAGGGCCGAAGCTGGCATAATACTCCTCTCAATCTGCAAGAGAAGTGTCACCTTTCTAGTACAAACCTACTGACGAGAATTGCCTCAGCTTTCAAGAGAAGTGGATTGCCGCAAGCTGGACTTGCTGACTTGCCGAAATTCTCCAATCTGGCACAACCCAGCACACCCTGCCTGTGGCAAGTTCCGCGCAGCACAAGGACTTGGCCAGCACATACACTCTCAAAATCAAAGCTCCAAGGACATCTGAGGGATTCAGCGGCATGAGATTAAACAAATTTACCTTGCCCGAATCTCACAAGCAGCGTTCCGAAAGGGGAGCCCAGCTGAGCTTCTGGCTCTCCAAAGTCAAAGCCGCCGGGCGCATGCACCTCAAACGGCTTTGACATCCCCAGCGCGGATAAGCGGCGCCGAAAACCTTTTTCTCTCGTGGCCCTGGCCGCAACGAAACCTCCGCGGTTGGCCCCCAGCTCGGCGACGAACATGACGTTCATGGAGGTCCTGGGAATGTACAGTCTGGATCGCAAAAGAGGAAGCAGCGCCAAAAGGCCTTAGACGTCACCCAAAACTTTGAGATCAAGACAAGTGCATGAGTCGTCAAAATCTCTGTCTCCAGAACCTGATTGTTATCTCTGCCCTCTGCCCTGAGCATGCTGTCCTTGAGCCTAAAATTGTCCCAGCAGGCTGCACGACGGTCTGCCTGCCAGGACAAACAACGAAAGTCAGTCATGAGCATGAGGAAGTGGCTCGCCTCAAGACTCCAAGCACTGCAAAGTTTGTGACGAAGAATTCCGGCTGGTCAGCAGGCACAGAGAACTCGAATGGTCCTCGGCAATCATTCTTGCACCTTGCATCAGCCCTATCAAAATGACCAAAAGCCTACCAGCGGCTAATGCATCCCAAATGCCACTGAGTTGTTCCACCTCCGTGTAGTTTGGATAGAGGAGGGAGTAGTGGCGATACACAATTGGGGTTGATGCAGGATTCACCTCACAAGCAGCGCAGAGAAGGCACCAACAGATCTTGGCCCTACTGCAGACTGCCTCTCGACATGATGCTTGAGTCTCTGGCAAAGTAAGTTTCGCCAGTGTCGTTGCAGAAAGGCGGCATGAAAGGCTGGCATGGTACATAGTGAGCATCCTTGGCGCACCAAAGGAAGTGCAGGCTTGAGCAGCGAAATGCAAGAGGAACAGGAGGCTGGTGGGGGATGGGAATAGCATCAGGAGCCCGTCGTGAACCAAAAAGGTCAGGTCAAGACACTGGAAGGCCCCAATCACCGGCAGAGTAGAAGTTGATCTGCCAATCAGGCTTCAAGCCGCAGCAAGCCCCAGCTTTCGCAATTTTCAGGGGTGGTGCCGAGCCTTCCACACGTTCGCCCCGTCGTCTCTGGGCATTGGTCGCGTGGGGTTCAGTGCCCAAATGTAGAGGTAAATGCCTCGGACGTTTCAGCTCTCCCTGCGTCGCTTGTTCACATCCCCAAGCTTGAAGCGTTGGGCATCGTAGAGGACCATGTCAGGAGTGAGATGGAAAATGCACCTGGAAGGAAAAACTCTGCCGGCTGCTAGGCAAGTGATCCTGTATTCTGAGGCGCTTGTTGTCCACAAAGTCCCAGTCGCCGCTGGGCCAAATCACACCGGGGGCACTCCTTGGCGCAATGCAGAAGCCTCACTTTGACCTTCCATCGGTGTGGGATCACCTGTCTGGGGCACAAGGGCAAACCCACCTCCACAGGTGCCACCTACGATACTGTCTGTCGCCAACCACACCAAGGGGCGTGTTTCCGCCCTCGCGAACATCCGCGCCAGGGATCAAGCCCTTACCCTGGCGTTGAAAACGCCGCTCGCAACGCGGATTTGAGCAAACGACACACGCCGCGATCGCCTGAGGAGATGTCGGAGACCTCGGGAGGCAAAGCGTTCAATGGTCAGGACTTGAAGCCCCAAAGTCTCTGGGTGACTCCGAGATAGTCCCAAAGCCTGGGCCCGCCGCAGCCAAGGCATATGAACCTAGCGTGTCCAATTGTCAAACTGATGATCTCCATGGCGCAGTACATCAACTGGTGTTTGGTTCGATTGGATTGGCCAAGACTAAATAAAAATCGTTGAGAAAGTCAGCTAATCGTGCCATAAGGAGCTGGATTCTCGCCATCTGAAGGTCCTAGTGCTCTTTCCGCGTGTTTGCATTGATAGCCTGGCAAGACTCAAGCACACATATGCTTGTCAGCGGTCTGCAGTGACCAGTGGACAATTTGTGGTATGTGTCAACACTTGGGAAGGGGAACCCCAGTGGCTTTCTTTCAGATCCCAACCATGCCTACTGGCAGCTCGATCTCGAAGCGGGCCGTCGAGCGCCACAAGACTTGATCCGGGGTTCCTGCCGCTGCTGCGGAACCGAAGGGAAAGGCACCAAATGCTTGGCTGCCCATTGAATTTTTGGGCTCCCTTTCACTTCCCATGAGCTTTCCTCCAATGGGTGGTTCGGTATTGGTTTGGGGGTTTGGGGGTTGGGGTAAGGCTCCCAGTTATCCTCCTAGAGCCAAGGCTTCAAGGTCAGCCTCAAAAAGCTATGGCATCACTGAAAGCTAATGTCTGTTGTTTTCTCAGTGATAAATTGGGCTCTCAGTGATAAATTGGGCCTGAAACTCCTCGAAGCGTCAGCGGCATCTGCATTCGGATGTACCTGAAAGCCGTTTTTGCCTGGTCATTGTCAATCAGGAAACATAAGGAGTCTCTGAAGTAGAAAAAAAGAAAAATGGGGCGGGGCTTTCCTTGAAGCTCCCTTTTCAACTGCCCAACAAGGGTGCCCTCCAAGAAGAAACATGTATACACGCTGGACTAGGTCCTGTTCAGAAAATACACGGCCTGTGGGAGTTGTCTTTTTGTGAAAAGCTTCTTCCTGTCACGCATGAGCAGCAGACATACTGACAAGGGCACATGTCATTCCAAACGGTGTCTGAGTTGAACTGCCTGCCAGTGAAGTCAATTTGTGATTTGCATGGGTGGAGATGTGCTTGAGTCGACCGTCGTGCCCCACCTCAGATTGCCCCAGCCCTCCAAGCCGACCAGACTTCCCCTCGGGTGTGGCACATTGGTGCAAGTGTCGCATGCCGCAAAGCACGAAGATTCTCAGCCCGTATTTTTAGTTGCTCACATTCACAAAAAATGCATTCTGCTCGGGTTTGCACACCACGTGTGCAGGACTGGAACTGGGGAGGTACATCATGAAGCGCCCAGCCCTTGGCTTTGCATTGATGGTGCCGTGTTCAGTAAGATCACGCGAAGCCTACGACAAACGTGTCCAGCATGGTCCACCGTTGCTGGTGCACCGATTTGCAAGCCCGATCCAATTACCCTTGAAGCAATACTGAGGCTGTGACACCTTCGTGTAGTCAGGCTTGCCATCATTGGATGTGGATATTTGTGCTCCCATGCGCACTGGAAAAAAGGACCGCTGTGGCATCGGCTTAGCCTTAGAACGAATCGCTGAACCAATATCAAATCTGCGCGCCCACCAAAAGCCGGCCGAATGTATTAAACGGGCTTGCCTAAGCCAGCCTCGGGGGCAAGTTATTTTTGTTGCGATAGGAAGCAGCTTGCGATGCGAAAAGCTGGGTTGTGCCTGGGCCCCACACCGCCCAGAAGCGAATGGTGTGCATGGTGTCTGACGCGAAGGCTGGATCCATCCTGAAGGTGGCCGTATTCTCAAGAATCACACACCTGCACTACCTAGGATGAACGAAACCTTGCAAAAAAGGAGTAAAACAATAAACTAACTACCAGCTGGTGCAGGATTTTGTCCATCAGCAGTAGTGCACGTCACACTGCAATTGACCACTTGACTCTTGCCTGGTTGGCAATCGCATCTTGATCACGTTAGCATTTGATCGAATGCCTCCATCCTGACATTCGCAAACACCAACATCTGTGCGAGGAATAGATGCGTGAAACTCTTGTCTCTGGATCAGAATCTTGGTCCACTACACATACGCAGCACGAGTCCAAAGCAGAATAGCCATGACCTCGGCTCCAAACCCTCCCTCTGCACCCATGCTTGAAGGCTCCGACTTGGCGTGTAGTACTCGCCATCTGAAATGCACTTTCCAGGATCCGCGTAGTAGTCGCATCCACGGCCCCTTGTGTCAACCTGTCATGTGAAACCTACCCTGAAGCACCATTGTTTTTGTTGCTAGTCAAGCCCAAGGCAACGCAGCTCTCTGTACTAAATGAGCCAGCAGCACCCATTGCCTTTGCAAGGGAGGTGTGAAGTCCTCACCTTGGGGCAACACAAAAATGGAGATCCTCACGCGTGTTGCTCTTTGGAAGAAAGAAATGGGCTAAAGTTCCCTTAGATCTAGTTGCCGGACTTGCTGTTTGTTCCCCCAATTGGACACTGTCGCTCGCCGGACTGGTTGAAGGGAGAGCAAACAATCCTTGAGCAGTGTGCACTCATTCACCTCATGCGTCTTGGAACATTGGCCTGCCTGCAAAGGAATTTCAAGGCGTTCACCCGCAGGTCGACCAGTTCTCAAGCGTGTGAGGCTTCGGCACACGGACATGGCTGCCTCGTATAAACATTCCACCTCAGGCAATGGTAGTCTCAGGATCTGCAAGCATGCGGGCCTCAACCTGCAAAACTGCAAAACCTATCACCTACACTGGGTCCACGAAAGTAAGCAGTTTGAGGATTCCCAAAATGAGCTTGGGGGTGGGTCCCCGCCATTCAGAGGGTAACTTTGAGCTACAGCTCTGGTGGGCACACCGGACATGTGCAACATGCGACCCCTTTGTGCTTCCGCGCTGTGGAAGTGCACCAATGCGCATAGTGTGGTTGGCAGTTCGCCGAGCACTTCCTGAGGCTTCAAGTCACTCCACTCAAGACACAGGGGCCAGACGGTGAAGTTCATGAACATATTCCAATGCAAAGAAGACATGGAATTACCATGTTCAGGGGTCCCCCAGGAATTCCTCTGAGGGCGGTTGTTTGGGCTCGTGCATGTGTCTGCATAAAGTCTTTCAGTGCAAACAAAAAAATATCTGAGCTAGGTCTCAGACGAGCGTACGTCAAAGTCCCAAACGGTCAAGGGCCACACGAAGATCCGGAGGAGTGACCTGAGAACGGCTTGTTGAGCTCGGTGTTCTTGTTGAGGCTCAGTACCCATTCTATCTTTGGTTTATAGGGCAACTCAAAAGGAATACCACCGTTTTGGGGCTCTCCCATTGTTTTCCATGCCCACTCTGGCATTGAGATTGTTGCACGAGTCGCATGCCATCATTCAATGCGCCACAAGCGCGTTTGCCTCCCCTAAGGATTCCGCTGCTGTGTAATTTTACCTGTCTCCTCACCGCGGATGACGAAGGACAAACCTGAGCATCAATCAAGTTCACATGAACTGCTTAAGAACTACTCTCATCAATCCATGTTCCCCGAAGTATCATACTCAACACCAAACGTTTGCGTCATCCCCAAAGCATGGGCGTGGTACTGCCTAAGGTCTGAACCCAGCTCAGCCAACTCCGCCACGTTGAGCACTGCATCTTCTGTTGCCCTGCCCAGTTGAGATTAAAAAGCAAGAAAAAAGATCGGTCCTTTGAACTCACTGTCGAATGGGTTTGCCTTTCCATGGTTGTGTGTACCAGTAGGAGCAGCTGGTGGCGAGCTTGAATTCCGCTTTGGAACTGCTACGGCTTCCATGGAACATGTAGAGGGCAAAAGCAAACGCTGGAGTTCCCCTACACTCCCTCGTCCACGAAATGCCATGGTGCCACATGCCATGTTGCAAGCTCTGTATGTTTGTGACTGCTAAGGCGTGAACGGTTCTGGCCCGTCCGTGATGTCATCCACCACAGTGTT